CCGTGTCTAGCCCGGCTAAAACGGTCACATTTGTTGGGGTGTTGGGCCTAGCCGGGCCGACCATAACGGTCAAAAACTGCTATTTTTGGTTTTTTACCAAAATACCCTAAAAACGATCAAAAAATGGCCAAAATTTGAGGGTATTTTAGACATTTATCTAGGGGGTCTGGATCTATAAATAGAGGGGGTTATTTATTTATTTTTCTCATCCAAAACTCATCTACTTCTCTCTAATACTCTCTAATATACACTTTTCCTTTCTAATTCTTCAATCAAATGACTTCCTCCTCTGATTATTAAGGGTAAAACCTAACTGCTAATCTTGAAATGAGTCCTCATACTACAGGAGCTACAGCTACTACTCCTACTCCTACCGATGTTGATCACGACTCTAGTGGCGACGATTCTGCACCAAGAGCTCCTAAAGGCCGAGATTTGATGTGTAAATTTTTTTCGAGAAAATAGAAGTCACCAGAAATGAACACGGTAGGCTTCTCACCCAAAAGGCTAAGTATGCGTTGTGCGGCCATATATTCCAACTTCATCATAAGAGCGACATCAACCACCTCAAACGACATTTAGATAAACACAACAAAGGCCAGACACCTCAAGGTGATATCCGACAATCTTTACTCTCACAATTCTCATATTCTGGTAGTATCGGTAGTTAGAATTATGACACAGTTCGAGTCGGGAAATGTGTTATCAGGTTTATTATATTTAAAAAATTTTCTTTTAAATTAGTAGAAGATGATGAATTTGAAGATTTGTTTACAGATAGTCTTTATCCCGCATTTAAAAAAAATTCGTCAAACTTATCAGCGTGATATTTTAAAATATTATCAAAAGGAATAATAAAAAATAATTTCTTATTTTCAAAGTTTAAACTGTAAATTTTCTTTAACTTCTGATATTTGGACATTTAGAGTACGAACTGGTTATTTATGTATCAGAACACACTGGATTGATGATAATTATCAAATATTTAAAAGAGTTATTTCTTTTATTGTATTTAAAGAGTCACATACTGGTATTAATATTGTAAATTTAATAATTGAAGAACTTATAAAATTAAAAATTTCAAAAAGAATATTTTATTTTTCACTAGCTAATGCAAGTAATAATAATATAGCTGTTGATTATATTAAAACATCTCTGTTGTTGCCATGTCATGGTGATCATTTTCATATTAGATGTGTATGCCATATTTTAAATTTAATTGTTTAAAGTGCATTTGGTGAAATTAAATCCATGACAGAAAATGTTAGGTCGGTAGCTTTATGCTCATAATGCTTCTGAATAAAGAATTAAAAGATAGAAATAATTCTATAAAAGAAAAAATTTAAAACTCAGACTAATTCCAAAAGATATTGATCATAGGTGGAATTCTACCTATGCAATGTTAAATGTAGCAATAGAATATAAAAAATTATAAATGATTTTATTGCTTTCTATACTTCTAGTTCTAGCTCTGGTAGTATGTATGGAATAACTGAGGATGAATGGACAATTATAAGTAATTTAAAAGAGATGTTACAAGTTTTTTATTATACTACTATGTTATTATCTGGTTGTTATTATCAAACCATAACTTTAGTTGCTTTATAAGTTTTAAATATAAAATTTTTTAAATAAATATCATTTGGATAATTATTTTAGAAATATAATTTTTTAAATAGAAAGTAAATTTAATAAGTATTTTAGGCCTATTCTTATTATTTTTTGTTTGGGGGTTCTTATTGATCAGTGTTTGAAGGATATTAGCCTTCGAAGTTTGTTAAATTCCTTGTGTGATAATATGATTATAAACACTAATGATGGTCAAACCATTACTGCTCTTACTCATCATAATACTATTAGAAATTATTTTTAAAGATTATATGATGAGTATGCAGCTAAATATGGTTTAATTACACATCAGGCTACAGCTTATGCTTCTACGAGCTCAAGTCGGGGCAAAAGTGCGAGTTTTGATAAGGAATCAATGATAGCTGAGCTAACTGGTGGATCTGGACTTGGATCATCAGCGAAGGTTTCTGAAATTGATCAATATTTAACTGCATCTTTAGTTAAATGTCAAAATAATAGTTTAGATATTTAGTAGTGGTGGAAAGTATATGGAACAGTTTCATATCCTATACTTTTCATCATGGTTCGTGACTTACTAACAGTGCATGTTTCCACGGTAGCTTCAGAATCCGCCTTCAGCACAACAGGACGTTTGATCGACAACCACAAGATATTGTTAGATCCATATACTATACATGTGGTAATGTGCCTATAAGATTGGTGGAGGTACGAGAAGAGAACGCAAGACATCGATCAGATGGCTGGTATTAAAGATAAATTTCAAGAGTTGGGACTAACAGATAGATATAAAGAGTAAACATTATTCATCAAATTGTAATTTTTATTTCTTCGCTAAAAATTTATGATAAATTATTTTAGAAACAGTTGCAAATGATAGTGATATAGATGAGTAGGTGTCAAGCTAGTTGAGATGTATTCATCTATTGTGATGCGATAAATTCCAAAATAAATTTATAATTGTAGATGTTTTACTGATTATTAATAAAAAATTATTTTTATTATTTTAATTTTTATAATTTTTTGTATTTGTAATTTATGTAATTAAAAGAGATTAATAATATGATTGTTTTTTATTAAAATTTTGTTTAATTTTTGGTTATGTATTATTAAAATTTTAAAGAAATAAAAAAAATTAAAATAAACCAGGGCGGCCTAGAGCCTGGCCTACTTGGGCCCGGGCCCGGACCCGACCCAGGCCAACCAGGCCTGTTTGGACACCCCTAGACTAAAGCTAGTCAGTATATATGAAACTTCTCTTAGTAATAATTTTATCAAAGGGGGTTAGGATAGAACTTATTTAAGAAGTTGTGTGAATAGTTTTTTATTAAAAATATAAATGGAGGGACTCCTACGGATTTGAATCCATTACACTAAAGAAAATCAAGAATTTTCAAAAAAATTTGAGAGATTGAATTCGAGAACTCATTATACAACGTGTGATATATCATGTCAGAAAATGTGTGTGTAATTAGACTCTAAGAATATTTTATGCATGTGTTTTATAAGGAGGTAATATTGATATAAATTATGCTTGTGTTCTAAGAATATTTTGTAACTTTAGTTGCTCATGTATATGTTTTAATTATATATGGTGCATGAAATTTTACACATGTTTGGAATTCTTGAGCTAGTAACGTTCTAGTTGCATGTTTGGTATGACAACTCATGTTTTAGATTTAATCTGGTCACCTATAATGCAAACTCTCTCACATTATTAAGAGAACTTCAACAAATGATAACATGAAACTTAAATGACATTCTGTATCAAGTTCTCTATTGATTCTTCTCCTTAAAAAAAAATGTCTACTCATCCAGCATATACTTGAACCAAACGCCCGCCTTTTTTTTTTATTGGGGACGTGGGGGGGGGGAGGGAATACTTTGATGAGAAGGATTTTCAACCAATGTAATCTGCGTATATGTGGCATGTTCAACTGACTTTTTCTCTCTGATAATTGACGTGATTAAGTTTTAGAAAACCCAAACTCAACCTTAAGTAACCTCTATCTAGCTAGAGATGAAAATTTCGCGACAGTCATTAACTGTTCACATTTACTATGCATAAATTGAGCGACAACTTGCTACTTGCTTGAGAAAAGGGAAATTAGATTACATTTATTTCAACATATGAATTCAATTAATCATAAGTAATACAATGATCATACGCACACATGGAGTAGAAAATTCTTAAGTAGCTTGCCGGTAGAGATAATGTATATACTGGCTTTCAGTACTAGAGGCTATAAATGGCAATGGGTTTTTCGTTTATTTAGTAAAACTGGTGCTACTTTCGATGTCCATATTCATAGGAAGCAAATTACAGATTGAACCAGAATTCTAACTAAAACAAATAAGATGAGATCATATAGAGTAAATAACAGTTTGATTAGTTCTCACCTGTATACACCCAAAACAATAACATGCCTTAGTTGTACTACTGCATTCTCCTCTCAGGTACTTGCAAAACCCTAGTTTGTACTACAAGTTCCCACAAGTACTACACACACATACTCATGCACTCTACACTTCAAAACAATATAAAATCAAGCAAACAGATATCATGAATACTTTAGTCAGCAACTTTTTAGGTCATCTCAATAAACAAAAGGGCAAACTGGACCACTAAGGCTGTTGCATGCCGCCCTCAAAATAATGCTCACCAGAAACACTACTGTAATCAGAAACATAGTGCATAAAGTTCATAATATATATGACAATGTCTCAACCATCAAAATTCTTCAACAAAAGATGAATATATTTTCTGCTTTTATAGATATTCGTTGTTTTGTTTTGAATCCTGGAATCTGAAGGAAACAAGCTCTATTGATCAAAAAGCAATGGTGGTACAGAAGCACATGGATACACCGTCTATCATATTGATGTGGTTATATTGTTCTCATTTGTTTTTATAACAAAGTAGCTACAATATTATTAGGTTGGTTCGATATATATGTCTGACGTATGTGTTGCTTACTCTCACAAGATTTGTCTCATATATGTATATATGAAGCATTAGCATTACGAATTACTATGATATGCGTATAATTATACCTCTTCTTTTTTGATGCTACATTCGTATTGATAGATTATATAAGCCATATTTAGAAAGTGAGATTTTGTAGTACATAGTGCAAAACCAATTCATTCCCCACTTTAATTCAGGCTAGTGCATTAAGTGCCGAATTAGGTTGCTCGCACTCGCTAAATGGAAAATCTACTTGTTAGATGTCAAATCATCTTTACTCGATAGCGTATTTAGAAAGAAGTGTGCGTGTAGCAACCTGGGAGATGATTTTGTCATAGATGGAGAAGAAGACAGAGTATACCATCTCAAGAATGCACTTATTATTAGTAGAAACCATGAGCGTGGAATGCACACATTAAAAGAGGTTCTTAATGATGGTGCCACTGAATGCGTCAAATCTAATTTTAAAAAGAAGTGATGTAGAGATGATTATGATGGATGCATGATACAGCTTAAGCCATACGTCTCAAAATCTATGTACATTTTTGTAGCTAGATGTACATTATCATTTTCTATTCAAAAGTTTGAATTTTGAGTAGATATTAGAAGTTATATTGTTTGGGTAGTCTTCTAATACTTCTATTATTTAGTCAGTCATCATAGCGTGTTGTTTTACGTTACTTTAGGACACTATATATGTATATAGTTCTATCTACTAATTAAGAAAACAGGCTTGAAGGAGTCTGATCACAATATGATAGGGCTGATTTTGAGTGCTTTTGTGATTGAAAGCTGCCTTCCCTAGTTTTTTTCATTTGATTTCTCTTCTTCTTCCTTTCCTTCAAAATCATTGTCCACTAAATTAAAAAGGCTTACAAGAGATATAGTGTTTGGTTTCACTTGTTCTTCCTTCATTTCCTCTTTCAAAAGTGTCGCAAGTAAAGGTTCGATAGCGATATAATGTTGATCAATTGTTATTCACAGTAGTAGTAAAAAATTATACGTCATGTATATATAAGTTCAAGCAAGTATATATGACAGACTGTATAGAATAAAAATGTACCAGTAGGCTACAGGCTGTATATAGTATAAAAATGTACCAGCAGGCTTATTGTTATGTATCTGAGGAGAAGTATCAATATGATGCTTTTAGCTTTTCTCAGAAACTATGATAGTTTTTGAAAAATTTTCAGGATGATAAGTACTGCAACCTTCTGAACATGCTTGTAACGTGATCAAAAGAGTAATTTTAATCAGCTCCGTGTGTACTTGCTTGAAATTCTCAGATACCCAAACTTGTGGCCAACTTTGCACTACTTGCGAGTATCAAGCATGAAGATGCCAACATAATTTTATCATTATTTTCTTCTTATTCTTTGAATTAAACAAGAATATACATAATTTCAGCAATGATTACTAGTTCCAATGAAAATACCTGGCACGGTCTGTAAAAATGGCGAAGAAACAATGAACTTTGCTAGTCAAGTACTCTAATGGTTATTGTGGAAGAGAAAGATAAGAGAAACCATCGATCAGATAAGTTCCTTAGTGCTATTTCTTTACAACTATATAATAAAGCAGTGTATTTTTCAATATCCAACAATTGTGAATTGATATGTTCAGACAGTATGTTGATTATGTAATGAGGTGGAGTAAACAAACCAGGTTCAAATTTCTTTTAGACAGTGTAGTGAAGTAGTTAATTAGTATGTTGGACTACAGAAACACATCGTTAGTTATCGCATGGTTTAACAATTTGTACTATGTATCATCTTTAGATCAGAAGTATACGTGTATGCTAAAAACAACATCTAGTTTGATATAATGACAATGCACAACCATTAATTACTAATGGACGTTTTCGACTGTGCCTATTTGCATTTGGTTACAATATTTAAGCCTGATGGTCTGAATTAAGATGATGTATATAGTCTTTTGGAGTTGAGAACAAATGTATAATTGTAATGTAGCCTGTTTCATTACTGTCTCATTAACAAAACAAACATAAATTTGTATCTACAATCACATCATAAACTTTAGGAATAATCTGATTCGCATAAAATTATGGCCACAAATTTTACGTTCAATGTAGTCCCTTGGTGCTCACTAAGAGTCACAGCATTTCTTTATCTCATATTCATCACTTTTGTTTCTCTCGACCAAAGAAGCTTCAAGCTTTATGTTTTCTTATCCTGAGGTAGTGAGTGCCTGACTCTCTGAGTCGGCCACACTATAAATTCCATCTTTAACAAGTGGGGGTGGCCTCCTAATGATTACATATAATACTGCAAGTCAATTCTCCAATTATATATAACAGCTCTCTACTACTGCTCCCCAGTGGCAATTTCAAAAGCAAAGCCTTACTCCTTTAACACTAAAATATTATTCAGAGAATGCCACGTGTAATGCAACAACTCAGAAAATTTGATTGCTTTTTAGCCAACTGATACAAAAGGTAACATCCTTCCCAAAAACTTGAACACAGAAGACTAGAAGATGGAGAAAATATGTTCTCGTTTCTTGTCGATGTCAAAGTTTCAGAAAAGAGAAGGAAGAAATGACAAGGTTTTGGATGTGTCGAGGGGAGAAGAGGGGGAGAAGGTGGTGGCATTGTTTTCAGTGACTGGAATGACGTGCTCAGCCTGTGCAGTATCGGTAGAGAAGGCGATTAAGGGACTGCCAGGAGTTCATGATGCAGCTGTTGATGTTCTAAATGATAGAGCACGGGTTATCTTCAATCCTGCACTGGTATCTGTAAGTACTCTTATGGATCCTCAGGTTCATGTTTTTGCTTCTCGGCGCAATTAGGCACCTAAGTTCTGTATGATTTTTTAATATCCACGTATATAGTTTGAATTATAGTGATAGGTTTTTTCCTTCTTTTTCGACAACGAAGGATATGGGGCTTCAACATGAAGCCCCAGCACCTTCATTCACCACCAAACTGTCGTAAACATCAACAGACTTGTGCCCCCAACTCCAAAAGCACAATCCAAACAAAATGTATCAGTATTACATCATGAACATCAACTCACAACCTGTGATAGCGGTTTTTTGGCTCTACTAATTTCAGATGATTAAAGGATGAGGAGTAGTATTGCTCAACACTGCACAATTAAGATTGTGGTGCGAGTCTGTAATAATGATTTTGAAAGAAAGACTGTATAGTTGGCTAAGAGAGCGAAATCATTAAAGACTACCAAAAATATTGCAAAGTATAGCATATTGTAAATATCAGCGTGAGCTGACTTCACTTCTAAGCCACTCAATTACCTAGTGTCCGAGATTCCAGCAAGCTATTCATTCAGAATTCATCTAATGAACGAATTTTTCAGAAAATTGAATATATATAGTTTTTTTTATCCGTTATCACTTGTTCTTTGCATCTTAACAGTTTATACTAAATAAAAGAGTTTGATATCAATGTTTTGTTTCTCTTTGAGTTTTATGCATTTCTATTTTTTTTCTGCATATTTCATCTCCCAGTTGTATCGTCTGTTAGTTTCCCCCCCTATCTTTTTCTATCTTTTTTTGGCCTACAGTATGTATCTCTTCTTTCTTTGCCTCCTAGAACCCTTGCATCATTTCTTTATTCTTTCATTTAATTTGGGTAGCTTGTTCCTCTCTGTTGTTTCTGACCCCTCATTGTCCAACATTTGAGAAGTTCATTAAATATTGCTCTTCAGCCGGAGAAACCCCTATGCCGAGATCCAACCAAATAGCCGAGAGAGATGAACAAACACACCAAACAATAGCATAAACACAATAACACTAGTTTTAACGTGGTTCGGCGAGATGCCTACGTCCACGGGGCAAGGAAGGGGGGAGTTTTCACTATTACAAATCAATGGGATACAACTAGGGTTACAAATCTCTCATAAACTCTCAACAAATCAACTCTTGATCTCACCAATTTCTCCTAGAATAGAAGCTCAAAGAAAACCCTCTCAATCTGCTCAAAACCCCTTGCTTTCCAACCCTAGAATCGAGTTTGGGTATTTATAGAAAACCCAAACGAAACGGGTCTGGAAAACAGACCCAGCCCAAAACCGCTACGGCAGTCGACCGTGGGGGTCGACCGCGATCCATCACGGTCGACCGCCACGGTCGACCGTCCTCAATCCCAGAACAGCCTCAAAGTTCAGAAACATCTGTGGTCGACCACGGCGATCGACCACCACTCGACCGTCACGGTCGACCGTCACAGGTGCAGACGCACAGTAAGGGTTGTGCACAAACGCGGTCGACCGCCAAAGCCCGCGGTCGATCGCCAAACTGCCAGAAGCTGAACCTGAGCCTAAAATCTGCTATTCTGCCAATTCTACAAATCTCCACCTCGGCGAAGATTCTACCAAACTGAGCTGACACCAACCAAACCAATGCCTCACTTGTTGCATCCAGTACGCCATGGTAACGGACTTATGACAACAGACATCATCCACAACATGTCGAGACCCAAACGGGAGTGCGAACACTCACCCCAAATCAAAAGTGTCTACTCACCAAATCGACTGCATCAAAACTGACTGCCTACGTATCCTCTCTAAGGAATCAAGCCTTCATGTAGTTCACCCCCATGGCCTCCAAAGACCCTCAATCCAAACTGCGGCTGATAGCATCATCAACGACCCAAACTGAAGCGATCCAAACACCTCCACCCGAGGTGAAACAATGGTCGTATCCAAGCTATATCCACCAGCTGCACTCGGATCTACCAACTCGTCATCCGCATCCGTATCCACATAACTCCCACGTTGTGCCATCTCAGCTAGAAAACCTAATAATGCAGAATGACCTGGAGTATGTGGAGTAAGCTCCACCCAATATGAAGTAGCATCACTCTCCACCCGCTGCGGTATCCCTCTGATCTGACCAATACTCTCTACCTGCCGAGAGTCCAAAGTGATATATCTGCTCATACCAAACTCAGAAGCCCTCAGCTGATAGCTGTTGTGGAAAATTTGTAATAAGAAAAATAAATGAAAGAAATGTATTTGATTTTATTCTCTCTAACTGCTTAGAAAAAGAATGTTTACAAATCTCTCAACTCTCGATTACAATTGGATTTCCGATTACAAAAGAGAAGAGAATGATCTGGATTCTCTCCTTTGTTTAATTCTGGGTTCTTCTTGGTAGCGATGAGATGCCTCCCTTGAATGCTTGAGTCGAGTTTGCTTCTCGTTGACGATCCGAATATCTGTACTCACTGGAACAACGATCTTGCCTGGTTGATAACTCTTGATGAGTTTCGTGATCCAGAACAAGCAACAAACTCTAGTAATAGAGTTATTCAAACCGAAAACAATTCGGTTAATAGGCCAAGTATACAAGCAACAAACTCTAGTAATAGAGTTATTCAAACCGAAAACAATTCGGTTAATAGGCCAAGTATCGACGGTTTAGAGCTCCTCCGTTTGTTGATTCCCCAGACTGTGTAAGGAGTCAATCCTCTTTTTCTGATTCTGGAAAATCTGATTGAAAGATCCTCTCCAAGTGATCAAAATCCGATCTCCAAAAATTCAGCCTCGAACTCTGTTGAGTTTGTTGATATTTATAGGGAGATTAGGGGTGTAACTAACCCCTTAATCCGCTCCTAAATGATAGGTTTTGTTACCTCATTAATCGGTTGTAACAACCCATTAAAACCACTCCCCAGATCATGGGTGATGAGCGGTTTTTGAAACTTCCTGGATCGTGTTTGAACATGTCAGAACTTTGACATGCGTTCTGGCATAGATTCTGGGTTTGAACGCAGCATCTGAAGGTGCGTTCTGCAGCGACATTGAGCTGCGTTCTTCGATGTTTGAAGGTGGGTTTGGCAGCAGTATTGAACTGCGTTCAACGTCGGTTAGAGCTGCGTTTGGCAGCGATATAGAGCTGCGTCCAGTGGCAATTTAAGCTACGTTCAGCGGCTGATTTGAGATGCGTTCAGAGGCTGATTTGAGCTGCGTTCGAGCTGTGCTTGGCAGCGATTGGAGCTGCGTTCGAGCTGATGAAGCTGCATTCAGCGGCTGATTGTTGAAGCGTTCAGGTTTCTCTGTCTTTATGGATGACACCAATGACCAGTAAAGAAGGTCTTATTCAGGCCCTTTGTGACAATTAAGGCATCTCAATAACGCTCTATCAACTGCAGGTCACGATCTCCACTGAGATTTCTTTGCATGGTTTAATTATGTGCCCCTCAGTGTGTCGAATATCATTACACTGCTCATCAGCACCTCTAATGGTTGCTAATATAATATTAGTCATGTTGTTGTCACAGCCATCAAGATCAATCATCTCACATAAGAAGATGCATTCGTGTTTGCAGCGGTTGAAGCTGCGTAGGTGATTGAATTGGTATTGTGTCTTGATGATGGTACGCGGGGAGGACTTCCACGTCTTGGTTTGAAGAGATTGTTGATTTGTAATCTCTTTCTGTCAGAGCGTTGCTAAAGATCGTCGTTTTGTAATCTTTGGTTTAGCTCTTTGATATGTGAAAATCTTCAAATTATAGCCTTCTAGAAGTCGTCAGATTGTAACTTCCATCATCGGTGTTTGATGGGGAATCCGATATCTATTATTATTTTTAGACAGCCTACAGAACCCCCTCCAAAGTTTTCGAAAGTTCGCGGTTGACTGAGACGAATTTTCGAAATACTTTGGAATCCCAAAAATTTTGTTGACCCAATGCGCCTTATTGCAGATTGAGTGGAGCCTCTTCGTTGACCTCATCATTCTTTTTTGGTTCATCTGTAATGACTTTTGGGCTTTAGCTTGTTTGACTAAATTCGTCGTCTTCAGGGAAGCTGGGCATTTCTGAGCTTAAGACAGATCTGTCGTCATAGATGGAGAGAACCACAAGCCTGTATCAGAAGGACTTCATACTCAGCTTAGTCAGGAGAACGGCCTCAGGGGGATTACTTGGAATATTAACCCCTTTGAAGGAGTTATTTATGTGATAGGCTGAGTTCGGTCATCAGAACGCATGTCTAAATCATGCATTCGACTATTTGAACGTGAGGGTGCGTTCGGGAGTTGAAACCCCTCTTTTTTGAAAACGCGAGAATCACGTTTCAGGTGAGATTTTGCCTAAAATCCTGCTTCGATTTGACAGCTACAGCTGTTTATAAGTGGGCCACTGAGGTCAAATCAAAAAGTGATTCGACTTTTCCCCTTCTTACTTGATTTCTGAACAGGGCTACTGTTCATCTTCTCCAGCACTTCAACGGAGGAAAGGATCCGTTCCTAAATACTTCGCCCATCTTCATCTTCTTCGCCACAATTGCCATGGGTCCCAAGAAGAAAATGGCTTCTAAATCGAAGACCGCCCAAGCTCAGGATGTTCCTTCGGCTAGAACCTCCGGGGATGATCAAATCCCTACGCCTTCGTCGCTGATTTCTTCAACTAATGGTAAGGTTGAACCATTGGAAATTGGTTTGACAGGTCTCTCATCTCCATCCCTTGATTGACGATCTGTATTTAAGCTCAAGAGATAATTCTGAGTTGGTAATCAATTTCAAGAAAACGCATGGTGATTGACGATCTGTATTTAAGCTCAAGAGATAATTCTGAGTTGGTAATCAATTTCAAGAAAACGCATGGCTAGCTCCATCGTTCATAAAATTTCAACGCAGGTTTAGACCCTGCGTTTAAAATTTTGGATGTAGGTTGAGACCCTGCGTTCAAGACTCCGAACGCAGGTTTGAACCTTTCGTTCAAAATTTTAGATGTGGGTTGAGATCCTGTGTTCGAGAATCCGAACGCAGGTCTA